CTTTTGTATGTCTGTCATGTTTGTCTTTTCTTTCTCACTACTATTCTTTTCCATCTCACTTCTGTCTCACTGTACGCACATATTTCTTACTGTCATCCATCTCTATTGTTTCTTGTTTGCTCACTTATACTTCCTTCTCTTTCTTATATCTACATTCTTTTTATTCACCTCCTTAATTTCCCCTCTGTGTTTTCCCCTCTTTTTCTCTTCTTTTTCTTTTTTCCCCCCTCTCTCCTTTGTCTTCCTCTTCCTCTGAATACTACTTATAATAAATTGATAGATCTCCAACTATGTAGTATGTGACATTCTTCTTCTTCTTCTTCTTCTTAGCGTTTGCCAGCATAAAATGTTGGTTGGTAAGCCACTTCTGGACATTAATCTTGTTCAAGAACTTCAGTTTTGCATGTGCGTCCGTTTGTACAGATCTGGCTTATTAATGTTCTTACTGTTTGTTCCTCACGTTTTATACAGATGCACTCTGACTTTGAAAAGGAAAAACCCCTAATTAGTCACCTCCTATGACATGCTTATTGGGGCAGCAGTGGGTCTGTTCTCCCCCCCCCCCCCCCCCCTCCCCAAATGGGGCCTAAAACCCATTCAGGAAATTATCTGTAATAACGGTGAGCACTATATATATATTTGGTAGCTGCAGTAGCTAGCGCACTTGATGGTTCTGGGTTCAAATTTAAATGGATTTTCGATTTAACTCTTTTAGTCACACGCAGTGCTTGATGCGTAATAGACTTTTCCACATGAATCCCAGCCATCACATAATGTGTTCATCTCTATTTTACTATTGGTCAGAACTCACTAAAGAAATCAGGCTTCCCTGTTCTGCTTGCGTAATTTGTCTTTTTGAAAGTGATCAATTTGTGACTTTTCAAAGTGATCATTCATTCCCTTGGGCATTTGCTACAAAAATCCCCTGTGATTGAAAAAGTTAAGGTCTGCACAGCATTAAATGGGTGGGTACCAAAAATGTCTTGGGAAGTAAAAGTGCTGATGTGATTTTAACCGTATAACCCATCAAGTGTTGATTGGTCAGTATAAATATGAGACTAGCACCATATACCAGATGAGTGCAAAAAAAGTCTCTTCCTTTTTTTTCAGCCGTTTTTTTTTGTTGCTCTTCTAACTTAGGTCTGAGTCTGAAGAAGCTCAGCACAGTGCACAGGCTCTGTAGCACCGGCGAGGATCCTGAAATACTTTGGGTAGATTTTAAACTGAAAATTTTGCCCGAGCAGCGCTGTTAGGCTACTTGTTCAGATTTCCAACTGCCAAGGGATATTTTAATGCACAACAATGCACGCAGGTGTCCGATCTGTCTACCTAGAGACCAGGGGGAATTACTAAAGTCCAAGTCCACGTAAAAAATATCCCAGCCCTTTCCGGGGATTGAACCCAGAACCTCTAGGACTAAAGGCAGACACCATGACTCAAGACCATGCAGCCCCCTTTTGCTTTTGAAGTAGAGGTGACCTTCTTTCTTCCTAAACATTTTCTAACAAATTTGGTATTAATTTTACAAGACTGGATCAACATTTAAAGCTTGGTGGGCGGGAAAAAGCACCACTTCATGTTATAGATTTAGAGCATGTTGGGTTGGAAGAATCACCACCTCATGTTATGGATTTAGAGTTTGTTGGGTTAGAACAAGCACCACCATATGTTATGGATTTAGAGCATGTTGGGCTGGAACAAGCACCACCTCATGTTATGGATGTAGAGCATGTTGGGCTAGAACAAGCACCACCACATGTTATGGATTTAGAGCATGTTGGGCTAGAACAAGCACCACCACATGTTATGGGTGTAGAGTATGTTGGGCTAGAACAAGCACCACCACATGTTATGGGTGTAGAGTATGTTGGGCTGGAACAAGCACCACCACATGTTATGGGTGTAGAGTATGTTGGGCTAGAACAAGCACCACCACATGTTATGGGTGTAGAGTATGTTGGGCTAGAACAAGCACCACCACATGTTATGGGTGTAGAGTATGTTGGGCTGGAACAAGCACCACCACATGTTATGGGTGTAGAGTATGTTGGGCTGGAACAAGCACCACCACATGTTATGGGTGTAGAGTATGTTGGGCTGGAACAAGCACCACCTCATGTTATGGATTTAGAGCATGTTGGGCTGGAACAAGCACCACCTCATGTTATGGATTTAGAGCATGTTGGGCTAGAACAAGCACCACCACATGTTATGGATTTAGAGCATGTTGGGCTAGAACAAGCACCACCACATGTTATGGGTGTAGAGTATGTTGGGCTAGAACAAGCACCACCACATGTTATGGGTGTAGAGTATGTTGGGCTGGAACAAGCACCACCACATGTTATGGGTGTAGAGTATGTTGGGCTGGAACAAGCACCACCTCATGTTATGGATGTAGAGTATGTTGGGCTGGAACAAGCACCACCTCATGTTATGGATTTAGAGCATGTTGGGCTGGAACAAGCACCACCACATGTTATGGATTTAGAGCATGTTGGGCTAGAACAAGCACCACCTCATGTTATGGATTTAGAGCATGTTGGGCTGGAACAAACACCACCTCATGTTATGGGTGTAGAGTATGTTGGGCTAGAACAAGCACCACCACATGTTATGGGTGTAGAGCTTGTGTGCTGGTGGAATACCTGTGTATTTTCTATGCAGCCACGGCTCAGTGCACTGTCTTCTTTCTATCAGAGTGCCCCATAAGTTACCAAACATAGGGAAACAAAAATTTCTTGGTAAACACTACTTTTAATTTTCTAATATGCTGTACATGACTACCATTGTTTTGAAACACATTTCAGTGAGTGTCCCCCGCTGCTGAGGGACACGTATAACGATGTATCCCTATGTCGTCACCTTTTGGGATGCAGTGTTTCGTTATTTGAAGACCCACCCTGGCTTTTGCTGGAGGCCCTGAATATAGCTGGTCCACATTGGTTATCCTCATCCGCATGGTGGCACTTTGTGTCACCTGGCGTTTATCACTTGTGTGATATCCTGATGGGTATCAGCAACAGCAAGCAAGCAAGCAACACGTATAATCACAGCTGGAGTTAAGCTTGTAACGACGTTAGTAATATGTTTTTTCCCTTATGTATGGAAACTTGGGGGACACCCTGGAAGAAGATTCCCTGTTCCCTGTGTGGGTTCTGAAGGCCCCATTTTTGATGGGGAAAAACATAGACCCACTGCCCTTTCATGAGCAAGGCGTTAAAATTGATTAATGAAAGACTTAAGTTTCACTGGACCAAGAGGTGAAGAAAAGATGCTGGCTTTGCATAGGACACACGTTAAGAAGACTTGAGAATAATATAACTAGAATGTCTTTGCACTGGAACCCAAATTTTACATTCAGTAGTTTGCCATTGTTTCTGAATGGTCAGCTCTTGGTACCAGTGTTGTAACCAACAGAAGACAAATCATCAGCAGATGGCGACACAAGTGACATGAATGATACAGTTATGGGTATGGATTCATGGAAACAGAATGCTTTGGATCATCTAACAAGGAGGGAAAAGATCAGTAAGAAAAACACAAGAATGGGAGAAAATGATTGCAGAAAGGTTCAAAGCTGAGAGTTTGAAAATAATTACATTGTCGTATGATGTCAACAGAGCTTCATGAAATCCCATGCACTTAGTGTGGAAAGCCTTTCTAAATTTAGGTTTGTCTTGCTAGCTACACTTGCCATCACCATGGGCTGTGAATCATATACTTCCCTATAGAACAATGTTTGGAAAGACAGAAACGTGCCATGTGAAACCCTAAGATGAACATTCATGAGAAAGGCTAAAGGTGTTGGACTGGATTCCATGCTTGATATTAAAACAGTTGCACCGGATGGAACTGAATGTGAGAATAAACAATGAGCCCATTGTGATGTATAACACCACCCCCACACAAAAAAAAATGAGTGGCTTATACAGTCGGCACCTGTGGCTTAGGCTTTGCAAGTGCACTTCGTAATGCTGGGGTGCCGGGTTTGATCCCTGCGGATTCTTTGTACCGAGAGCCGACCGTCCAGAAAGCAATGGCAAACTACTGGCGTAAATTTGCTTAGAAAAACAACAACAGCCTGAAAGCTGAGATTGGTTCTGCAACGTCCTGTAAAGGATACGCAACTACATTTTTAATACAGCCTGCAATAAAAAATATAACAATTGAAGTGTGTTTAACATGTTTAAGGGATCTCCTTTGTTTGACAGTTTAAGAAAACTGGACATTCATACATTTAGAGGAGTATGACATCACTGTAGAAGCATTATTTTAAAACTAGGTTTGACACTGGCACTTTCTGAGTTATATGTGAAGGCCAACATCTTCAACTACTTTTTTCTCATGTACTGTCTGCATAACCTGTTTGTGACAGCTAGCCTTGTACAGTTCTTATATATTTCAGTACCACTTGCTGAACAAAGTTTGAATAACACACCAGCTGGCAGCGAATAGCCCGCAGGTGTGATGCAGGGCATTCACCCACCTGGTCGTATGCAGAAAGTAATTTCCTAGCTGTGACTAATAGCCTGCCTCATTATGCCAGCTGTTATTGACAACTCACATCTTTTTTGTTTACTATGAAATCTTCTCGCTGATGGAACTGACTTTTCATAGTACTGTGGTGTCTACTGGTGTTGGAGGTCAGGTCTTTTTTATTTGGTGCCTTGTGGATTTATTATTACATTTTTTAGAAGCCGGCCTGTATACATGGTAAGTATATTGTATATGCAGAAGTAGCCAAAAAAAATATTAACACAGTGGTCGCCAAGCAGTAAAATGTATCTGCTTGTACGAATGTTGTGGTCTCTGAGTACATTACAGTGGCAATATGTTGCATGAAGTTATTAAAACAACCTGTATACAAACTTGGATACAAGGAGTGTGGATTCAAACACAGGAACTTGAACCGGCAAAGAAACATCCAGTCAGTGTTCTAGCATGGCTCCTCTGGTGTTATACTGTTTATAGATTTCAGTGTTTTTCATGTTTTTCAGATGATGCCTTCCTTTGCCAGACTGACTACGTCATGGCCATGAGGATTTGTTTCAGAGCCATAGAACTCGGAAAACCAGCATTGTTGTCAGAGATCAGTCCCTACCTTGTGAGTTGACGTTTAAGCGTAGAAAAATTTTTTAGTTAAAGAGGATCGATTTCATTGCAACAGTTTTGATCCAATGTGACTCAGTCTCTATCTGCAGAAAAGCTAGCTGCCTAGCATGAACTCCATAGCTTCAGCGATGATCTCTAAGGATCTCTGTAAACATTGCAGTCATGAACTGAATGGTGCATCTGTGAAATGAATCCACGACCTTCAGAGTGAGAGGCAGACAGTTTGACCATTTCACTGCGGAGATCGGCACAATTAGAAGAGTGGAGCAAGTCAGAAAGGAGAGGATAAAATGGAAGTGAGAGATTGTATGAGTCATGGGGAGGGAGAGAGGCATTGTTAAATCCAAGTCCCTGTCTTGTGAATCGATATATTGAAAATGAACATTGAAAAGGGGGGGGGGTGGTATTAATTACCTGGATGGGTTGGTTATATGTGTGGGGCAAAGTGAGCACCGGCCTGATTTGTGATTCTGGTGATATTGTGTGAGGTGGCCATTCATGGCTGCTTATTCCTACTGACAGGGCACATGATAATGATGATGATGATGTGTGGCTTTTTGAAGGGACCATTTTAAATACCCTGTGATATATTAGAAATATGGTGCTAGTTCAGTATGATTTGAATAGACCATGGACAGGACAGGTTTTTAAAAAAAATTCAAAATTGATCTTGACTCCCAGGTCTGCCCAACCTAAAATGGGTACCGGACAAAGTCCTGGGAAGTAATGCAGCCAGCTTGATGATGATCACATCACCCACTAACTGCCAATTTCTTCTTTTGCCCTTTATCCCCTAAATGAGCATAGGCCTTCAACCAACTCATGCCAGTTTGTCCTGTCCTGTCCCTTGCTGTTGCATGCAGCTGACCCCATGTCATTCCTGTCTTTTTCACTTCATTCTCTAGTTCACTTCTTCATGTGTGTTGCGGTCTGCCTTTATTTCTATACCCATGCTGGTTCAAGTGCAAAGACATTCTAGTTATACAGCTTTTCCCCTTGTGTGTTACCAGGGCCCCCTGGGGAAGCAAAGAATTACTGCACCCTACAGGGCATGTCGTAAGAGTAGAGTTGGCTCTAAGTGTAGGGTTGGCTACCCTATGCCGTAAAATGTATGTTGGCTCTAAGTGTGGGGTTGGCTACCTCATGCCGTAAAATGTATGTTGGCTCTAAGTGTAGGGTTGGCTACCTCATGCCGTAAAATGTATGTTGGCTCTAAGTGTAGGGTTGGCTACCTCATGCCGTAAAATGTATGTTGGCACCTTTCCTTCATTCCAGACTATAGTATTGCCCACAAAAACCAACCTTCCATGGAAGATAAGAGTGCAGATCTGTCTGGCATAAAAGGGGTCCTTATTTTACTTACAAACCTCTCTCATTATGTCTGCAGCTGCGTTCAGGTCAAGTGGGTGCTGCTTTATCCCGCAGCTCATCGCTTCCCATCAATAGGGCATCCCGTCTGGCTGCAGTAGTTACTACTGAAGGTCAATTAGCCTTGGGATGTTCACTTCCCAGCGGCATAAACAGAAGCTCTGAAATGGGGAACAAGCATTCTCATTTAAATGGTAAATAGGTGTACTTTAATATTTTTGTTGTTTGTCCTAAGCATGTGTAACTGTCTGCACCAGATGGTTTCACAGCTAGCTTATTTCTCTCTTTCTCTCGCTCTTTCTCTCTCTCTTCCTCTCTCTTTATCTCCCCTCCCACCCTTCTTGCTTTTTCACATGTCTTTTTTCTCATGCCCTCTTAGCTATCACACTCTCCCCCCCTTTTCCTCTTCCTCTTTTTCTTTTTATCCTCCTCCTCCTCCTTCTTCTTCATCTCTCTCCTCCTCCGTCACCTCTGATTCCTTTTCATCATCCTCCCCAATCTTTTGCCTTTCATTTGACCTTTGGGACTAAAGTTGTCGATGGGATGGGGCAGCCACTTGCACATCAGGGCTTTCTGAGTCTCTGGGGCAAAGTGGTTAAACTGTTTGCTTCACTCTAAAGATTGTCCATCATTAGTTTTGTGAGTGCATAAGTTATGGAGCTACCTGGGGTCATCAGTGGTGCTATGGAGAATGTGCCTTAAGTGATGCTGTCTAGTGGGCGACTGGCTACTCTACAGAGAAAGAGAGACAGAGAAAGTGAGATTGAGTAAATTAGTATAAAATCTTATTCTCTTCCCTTTAAACACACCCCTTAAAAAAGATTTTTTTAAAATCCTGTGTATTCCTGTGTAATCCTCGGTGAGGTTACAGAATTGTTTCTGTTGAGAGCTAAACAAGAATCCTAACCTGCACAGTCCGTGGTGACACCTCTAGCCAAAGGCCTGAAATCCTTAAGCTCGGAACCCCCTCCCCCCTCCCCTCCATACACTAGGAAAGTGGTGAATACAGGCAGAAGTAACAGGGTTTTGTTTTGCAGGGGGGTGGGGGGCAATCCTTCATATTTTACACCTTGCATAATAGGTTACAGAATTATTACTGCTCTTTGTTTGCCTCTGAAGGCCTTGGTAACACATGGGCGTTGCTAGTAGTGACGTCTTATGTTGGGTGACCTAGTTGATCCAGTCAGAGTTACCCAGTGAAACTGTATCATCTGCATGTCTATTGTTGTTTATTGATTTTCCATCAGCGCTGACTCCTGGTCCTCTCTTGATTTCCGTTAATATATTCTCTGCATGAATATTGGGGATGAGACACACCCTTGTCTCACACCCAGTTAGGTACTGTGAATATATTTAACCTATAATCTGTGTTGGCTGTCATCTTATCGTGCGGCAGGTACTTTTGCAGAGCGTCGCTGTCATCACGGTTTTCCCATAAGAAACTCCTCCTCTCGCCACCAGTCCCAACTTCTGCACTTTCGTGTCCAAGGAGTCATTTATATCATGTGCCCATCTTCATGTGGGTAGGCAGGCTCATGTCCCTCATTCCTGATACCATGCCTTCTGCTGTTATTTTTCCGGTCCACTTTGGCACTTGATATGGTCAACACATTTCAGCTGCTGAGACAAGATGCTGTTTATTAGCCAATCTTCTTTGGTGTACAGATCTTTTAGTATGTCAGTATTTCTTCTCTTCTTTGTCCATGGTATTCCGAGAATCTTTCTCTAGAATTTCATCTTAAAGTCCCTTTTTTTCTTCGTTAAGGACTGGGAGAAAGTCAGTGACTCACATCCGTATGTTGCTACAGGGAAGGTGCATGCTCTCAAAATTTTAATTTTGATTTTGTTGCTGGTACTTAACCATAGACTTTTAATGATGTGTAATTTTTTTATTGCTATGCTATGTAACGGCCTAAATTTGGTACAGATTGTGTAACTTTTAAATGTCCCCCTCCCCCCTCCACACACACACAAAACAAAATTAATAAATAAGCATAGTTTAGGGATGTCTTGAAGTATATTTGATTTGTGGTGCTAGTTTTGCATTTTTTTAAAAGATAAATAACACTCCCCGAGTAATGTAGTCAGTATCACACAGTCTTGACTGCATAGACTGTTTTCTAGATTTAACCTTTTTACTTAACAAATAGAGGGGGTCGTGAACCCATAGGGATTACCCCCAAACATCTGTAAAAAGCATCCATTTTATACAGGTCACTAATACATTTTAAAAGAATTTATAAATCTTCTTTAAGAAAATATTATTTATAAAGGAAACAATCAGTAAACATGAACAGAGTGAAGCATTAAATAAAATACATTCTCTGGGGCCTAAATCAAACATGTGTCAGGTGACTGATACTGTGATCCTGTTACCTCCATGACTGAGATTTAAGGGGAACATTTTACATCAGCATTGGGTTTACAAAGAAACTCTGAATGCTAATTTTAGTTAATATACTCATATCAAAGCCTTAACTCTGCGCAGGCATACAGAACCAGCGGCAATTAAGTAGGCTTTTCGAGAACAGACAACTGTAGAAATACTGATTTATCGACATCTATCGGGACTGTGTCACGACTGGAAGTAGATGCAGTCTTCTCAGGTTGACAAGGTTAATTGTCATGGAAGTAAGAAACCAGACTTTTACTTACAATTAGGGAAAACAAAGAAAGCTAAAATAATATGTCAGTGAACCTAAGATAAATTTTAGCTCACAGTACCAAAGCATCAGTTTCGGGTTGTTATGTCAACCTTTTTTTTTTGTTTGATTTTGTTTTGTTTCAGTTACTTACTCAAATCAGTTGAGCAGCTCAAATTTGTCACTTGTGGTTGATCCTTCTTTGGGAGCATCAAGTCTTTTACATCAGAAGACACTGTCTGACCCATATTTTGTATCTTCACTGGATTCCCCTGGTGTCATAGAGAACCTCAGGTTGAATTCTTATTCTGACGCTGTCAGAAGCAGCTCACTGGCTGAACATCTTCAGAACAGCCAGCTACAAGGTGTGCATCCATCTAACCAGTCATCTGTGAGCCTGCATGGTCATCCCCAATTTCTCCTGGAAAATAATCATTTAGATAACTTAGCAGACTTAAGTGACACAGCTGGCTCAGTTAATCTTGACCATTCAGAGAATACACCAAGCATTATTTTATCTTCAGTTGCAGACACACTAATTAATTATGACAGCTCATATTCAGATGGAAATGCTGTGGTGAGACCTGGGGGAAGTAGTGTTGCTGGCATTCCACCATTGCCACACTTACCCGCATCGCTGAAGACTGAAACTGCCCCACATTCAAATGTTGAGTTAGGCAGTACTGAGGGTGTACATCTTACTGATTTCTCAGAAAATGAAACTAAGGAAGCAATAATTATGAAACTTAATGAACACACAGTGAGCAAAAGTGATGATTCACATGGGAATACTGGTCATCAGGCAACTCAGATCCAGTTTTCTGAAACAGGTAATTATGCAAAATTGAATTCATCAGTTGCCACAAATGGAGTACGGCTTTCTTCAGTGGAAATTGTGCAGAATTGTATAATAGAAGGTGGAAGAGGACCTCATATATTTAGAGATCCTTCTGTTGCAACTGGAGTACATGTATTAGGTATTCATGAAAGTGCTAGGATTGCATCCAACATTAGCGGTAACAGCAACTATGCCTTTGTTAATAATACCACCGCTACCAATAACTCTGCCTCAGGTTATCGCTCAGTGCCTTCCTCTTCTTCATCTTCCTTATCCAGAAGTGAAACTTCAATAAACTTACTTCCAGAGGCAACTAGAATTCCAGGTGATTTTTCTGATGCATTTGTGAAAACTGAAGGCAGCATACTGCGGCAACAAAATGAAATGACAGCATTAACTGGTGCAGAGAGTGTAAAGCCCAAAATGTTCAGTGTGAAATCAGAGCCTTCACTAAGCATATCCCATCCACTTGTAAATCCTGCAGAAAGTGCAGCTCCACCAGACCTCCGAGTTTCTTACGCTGAAACACAAAGCCCTGGTCCCTACAGCTCAGTAAGGCCTTGGCATGATACTGATTTGTACAGGGAAACTGTGGCTAGTCCTAGCTCCTCACCTGTCACTAGAATGATTCCAGGCATTGCCAGATCATCAGGCCAAGTGTATCTGCCTCACTCTCCAACTCCTGTATCACCAGACCCTCACCCGGCTACAAGAGGAGGACATGTTTCCAATGTAGGTGTTAGTAAACAGCTATCACAGCTTCCACCCCAATCGTCAGCCTCAAGAAAGCTGGGTCACAAACGATGGGTGTCAGACACAAGTGCCATTCGTGTGGATCAGTTGCACGAGGGAGGCAGTGTCCAGTCTGTGTCCACTTCCAATGCTGAAGCTACAAATCACACGGCAGGCAGCCAACCCAACGGCAAGACAAGGAGGCGAGGTAAGTTTCTGCATTCAGTTCTCAGTGCCCATCCATTAATATTCCATTTTTGTTACTAGTGATGATTATCTGAGGAGTGGCTGCTCAGAAGGTTAAGAATGTGGAATTGTTATGCTGGAGGCCCAGGTTCAAATAGGAAGCAAAAATAAAATCCTAACCTGCACAGTTCATGGCAACAGCACTAGACATGCAGCCCTTAATACTCATGCTGAAAGACACCCCCAGCTCCCCAGACAGTAAAGTTTTTTTTTTTTGCAGATTATATTTTATTCACACCAGTTTATTTTAATCCTTTGGAGATGACACGGCCGAAATATTGGCCCGACACAAAGTAGCCAAAGGGACGACTGGGCCGATCTGTCGGCCCTGTGTAATACAAGCATTGAGATTGGCTGGCAGGTTTTTTTTTAAAAATCAGATCCATTCTCACATTTCTTGCACATGTGGGCTGTTCATTAAAGGCTTTTGATAAAGTTTGATGTGTTCGGTAATTTTACATCAGTTATTTTCTGGGGTTACCTGTGCGCAACAACGGCGAAAAGGACTGTTGCGCCAGAGCAACAAAAACATAGCTGGAGCCAGGAAAATGAGTACAGTCATATGACAGAGGTGTCTGAGGGGCTTTCAATAAGCTTACTTCCCAAAACCAAGTGTTATGACTTATTCACGCTTTATCCATAAAAAAAATTCACCCAGATTTTTTAAATTAATCATGTTTGTTCCCTAGTTTAAAAAAAATGCAGATTAGAATTGTTAATTTGAACAAATGTTGAG